ACCAGGCTCTTTCCCATAGGGGGACTGTGCTGGGCTGTGCTCAGGGTGGGAGGCAGTGGCACTGGGAGGGGGGCAGCAGTCACCCCAGAATTTGCTGTAGGCTCCCCCATTGTCCCACTCCCAGTGCTGCTGCCCGCCCCGAGCACAGGCTGCCCCAGCCCCACCATGGGGAAGAGCCCGGCGCAGCCCTGGCTCCAGCCAGCAGCTGCAGCCTGTTCTCACCCTGTGCACAGATCCAGGGGCGCACGCCCCCCCCATGCCCTACTGGGCTGCACGCAGTGGTGGGATCTGCCCCCACCTGTGCCCCCTGGACAAGCTGCAGCTCTGTCCCCTGCTCCACCCCAGCAGGACAGAAAAGTGCTTGCCCCTGCCACAGCCCCACTCCCTCCCTCACCATGGGGGACTTCAGTCTGTGCCCCCCACACCCCTTCCCTCCCCCTTCCCCCACAACAGACTTATCAGCCCGACGCTGCTATCCAGGCTGCATATTGGAATTGGATTGGTATCAGCCAATATGGCTCCATAAAAATTGGCCATCAGTATCAGCCCCAAAAATCTCTATTGGTGCACCCTTAATTATGAATATAACTGTGCTAGATGCCCTTCTTCTCCAGGATGGATCGGGGAAGCATTCAGCAAAGAAACACAAAAATTAACTTTAGTGCTAAACTTCAAGAGAAAGAAATGCTTTATAGCTCCCCCCCCAACACCTGCAATTATTTAGTAGTTGTAGGGAAGAAACTACAGAATATCGGTATTGATCTCCACTAAAAATTTGACATTTATCTAGATTATCATATTATAGAATCTAAAACAACATATATTTTCACCTACTGCTAATAGTAGGTAACTGCAGTATCTTAAATATTTCTGTAATGAATCGTAAATCTTTAATGAATTAATTTTTAATGTCTACCCTTCTGGTAAACCAAAGTAAAGGGACTGAAAGGCAAGTGATATTCCAACTTCTTGCTCCACAGCACATTCCTAAATAATGGTGGCAAAGTTAGGAAATTCCACTAATGTGGTCATAAGTATTACACAGAAATGTAGAACAAAGTTTTATGAACTATTTTGACATTTTCTTGGCAGTTCCTAAATATGCCTTACCTGTTTTGCATCAACTCTGCCATTAGCTTCAATATAGGAGTTGTACATGTTGGTTCACGATACCACAATTCAATAGCTCTTTGTAGAACAGTAAGATATGATGGGTATCTTTTACAGTATGAGTTAAAGGTTAATTGTCAAAAAAATGATATTTTACAGATCAACTTTACCCTAATTCTACTACACTTTGTTCAATTGGTGGGTCTTATATAGTCATGGTACCATGCACATAGTGAGGATAAGAGGTCATAAATTTAAGTTAGTGCCTAAAACGATACATTCCATGGAAACCGGAAACATTAAGAGGTAGACAGGTAATATACATCATATTTGTAACCACATACTGAAGAAAATTACAGGAAAATGAAAGTTCTATACTGTGAGGCTAATGCATCAGTGCAGGTATAAAATGTGATTTTTTTTAAGACATCAAATACAATTTCAGTAAAAATTGAACCAACTTACATCTAAGTTGGCAAGTTTTGGAGCAAGTTTTGGATCTGAATTGCCACAAGTGAATCATACTAGCTATATAAATGGTTGGGGAATAATGCATGTAAAAAAAAGGTTCCAAATTACTCAAACTGAGAAGTCAGAAAGGCTATTTGGGAGTGGGGAAGAAGAAACAACAAAAGTAGTTTTCAAAAAAATACCCACAAAAGGATATGTCCAGGTTCACCAAGGAGGTTAAAGACCTTTTAAATTAAGATTTAGAAGGAAATTATACAGAAAATTGTATGTTCATTATACTCTAAAGCTAAATGGGGAAAAAAGTTTTCAAAGGTAATTGTATTCAGGTATTTGACCACATTATTAACATATTAATGAGGGTCTAATATGTGAGTTTCCCAAAATACATATATAAGAACTGGGTTTGACAAAGATTTATAATTAGGTGAAGTAAAATCTGAAGCAGCTCAGTGCTACTAGTAAAAAATACAGAGGCTTTTCATCTTATCAGTGAATCAAATCATAAGTTCACAATTAGGCTGGACTAGCTAGGCTGCAAATTAGTATCTAAATTGGTAATATTTTGTTCTTCATAATGTTAATTTATTTTTTATTTTTTTCTTTGACATTTAATAATACACTTTGCTTTATTTCATCCAGTGATTCATAGCCAGGGAGCTGGGACATCCAGCGGTATGCAGAGATCCTTTGAAAGATGCCAAGAGGTGTGAGAAGATAAGCAGATAAACACAGGCTTAGGCTCAGTCCCTGCCTGGTCATTACCTCACCCTCACTACCCTGCCCCTACGCAAGGAGATAAGCAGTGTAATAAAGCAACACCCACTGCTCAATTCACAGAAGTTATTGAAGGGTGCCTCAAATCTAATGATGGGTGCCTTGAATCTAGGCAGGTAGGGCTGTGTGAAATTTCACTGGGTGTTTCATTTCAAAGCTGTTTTGACATGTTTCAATCTCAAAACAGCAACATCAAAACGAAACAAAAAGGCTTCAAAACAGCTTCAAAATGAAACAAGGGCACTCAAAACATTTTGAAAGTTTCGAAATGTTTCAAAGCTGGGCTTGCTGCAGATCTGTGCATGGGATGACAGTATGCTGCCACTGCTGGCTGGGGCCAGTGGTAGCACCAGGCTTCCTGGAGCTCAGCACGGGATGTGCCCAGCACTGGTCCCAGCTGGCAGCAGGAGCCTGCTGCCATCCTGTGCGCAGATCCGGGGGCCCATGCCCCGCAGGAGGAGTCTGTCACTGACCCGGAGCCCTCCTGGGGGGCACGGGCCCCCGGATCTGCATGTGGGATGACAGCAGGCTGCTGCTGTTGGCTGAGGCCAGTGCCAGCACTGGGTTCTTCCTGGTGCTCAGTGTGGGCTGTGCCAGGCAGACTCAGGAGCTGGTGCTGGCCCCAGCCGGCAGTGGCAGCATGCTGTCATCCTACATGCAGATCCAGGGGCCTGCACCCCCTGGGAGGAGTCTGGCACAGTCCCGCATCCCTCCTGGGTGGCGCGGGCCCCCGGATATGTGTGCAGGATGACATCATGCTGTCGATGCCAGCTGGGGCCAGCAGCAGCACCAGGCTTCCCAGTGCTTGGCATCGTCTGCGCCCAGTGCCAGTCCCAGCCAGCAGGGGCAGCCTGCTCTCATTCCGCATGCAGATCTGGGGACCCACGCCCCCTGGGAGGACTCTGGTACAGACCCACAGCCCTCCTAGGGGGTGCAGGCCCCCAGATCCACATGCAGGATGACAGCAGGCTTCTGCTGCTGGCAAGTGATATGAATTTTGCTTGTCAGGAGTTTGAGGCGCAGTTTCCCAGAAACTCCTACACCTATCTCCTTGAAACTTGTCAGACTTCATGCCCTCAGAAGGGGCTGCTACCCCTGCAATTTTCATCTGAATCAGGCAAGAAATGACAAAGTTATAGGCATTTTCATGATTCCCCATTATAGCTTATGGGCTAAACGTCAAAACACGTTGGAAGAGCAAAACAGTTTCTGACGAAATGAAACGCTGTCCCTTTGAAATGGTGAAACAGAAGCTGAAACAAAATGGTGCTGTTTCACACAGCCCTATAGAGAGGTTGAGAACCATTGATTTAATGTAACTGGAAAGGGTAGCTGGGTGTTTGCAAAGGAAGGAATTATCAAGAGGCTTAACGTAGGGCTGGAAGCAGAGGTGCCAGATTAAGCACTCTGAGCAAATTTTTTTTTTCAAAATCCTAAGAAACATAACAATATTTGTGCTCTTAAATCACTCTTGAAAATCTCATTCTCAGGTAACAGCTGGGATTGTGGGTGTTCGAGAGAGATTGCCTATAGTTAGTGTAGGAATGGAGAAAACTTTTATGCTTTATACCTAAAAACACATAAGCGGAGTAAGGGGGTAATGGCATGGAAATGGGATACCCCTGGCTCAGTATCTAGCTCACTTTGTGGCTATTTAAATGTCTGTGCCTCAGTTTCTCCAACTGTAAAACAGAGTCAATGCTACTTACTTTGCTTGCCAAGGTTTTGAAATGGATGGATTTCATGGCTTAGCACTGCTTTTAAGTGCTAAGCAGCATTATTTTACTTGTATCTCAGACTATCTTATACTTTAAATTATATTTTTGATTTCCATTATTTTAATTTTTTGTCATTGTAGTTTCATAGATCTGTTTTTGCTTCTACTCACACTTAAGTAATATGGGAATATGTGATGCAAGGGCCTGATAACATATTAAGGTACTAATGCAAATTTGACCAAGTTATTACCAAGTGATGTGGGACTGCTATTTGGTAGAACATTAAATTCTGGGCTTATTCTAATTCCCAGTGGACAAGGTGATTACCATCTCATCCTCTCTCCCTGCCCCCAACCAACCCCTCCCTGCACAAACCGCTGACATAATTGGTATTAATTGTAATTCTTAATGGTAGTCTTAGCAGAAAAACTGGGGTATGAAAGTCCCATGAAAACTGAGTTATTTTCTCCCCCACAGAGTTGAAGGGAAATGTTTTGCTTAAAAATTTCTTTCTTAGTTTCAATACAGGTCAGTAGACTCAGAAACTTCTACCAAGTTCTCTGTTAAACTTATGCCAGGAAGATGTCCTATTAGCTTCTGCAGAGCTGCCCTGAGAGGCTTTTATATCTTCCAGGGATTTGGGGAGGGGGTATCTTTTTAAAAATGACAATATGTACCCCAAAAAAAGAAATTTTAATTTTAATGGGAGAAAAATTAATCAAACCATGGAGAGCCAAGTCTTGACACAATACAGGCCTTCTGGTGGAGACTAATGTCATCGTAGACAGCACTACCGATGAATGATATTGTTGTCTCTAAGAAGGGAGGTATTTTGGCTAATTCTGTCTATTTGTCCGAGGCCTCTGGAGACTTGCTCAGCTTTTGCTGCCAACAGCCTACGGCTCTGGAGGCAACACTGCATGTTACAGAAGAGACTGACATTTGAAACATACTTCCAGGATCTGCCTCTTCCCTCCTAAGAGGCCTTTTTATTTTAAATCAGTCCTAGCATGTGCATATACTATCAATATTTCTGCATGCAATAACTAAGATTCAGCCCAGTCTCCCAGGTGTGCATGCTAAAACTCCATCAAAGGAAACACAGAAAATCCTTGCTGTGTCTTCTATCACTTTCATTAATCCACTAATATTGAAACGTGATTCCAAAAGAGCTATATCGTCCTGACACAGGGCAAGACACTCAAAATACACCAGCTGCCATGGAACATACAGGAATGGGAAGCTGGGTGTTATCCTCATGAAGAGGTCATTCTAATTCATACTCCCTAGATGACCATCACCCAGCTAAACTAGCTGAACCTCTAAGTCACATTCTGAAACACTGTCAAAATAATGAGGATCAAAGAAGTCTAAAGGACTATCTGCTAACTCTGTCTCAACACAAACCTTTTTGGTAGCATCTTAACCCTTTATGGGAAGACTAGACATACTAGTTTATCAACACCAGCTCAACCCATATTTCACTGAGACTATGTTAGTGGGCTAGCCCTAGAAGAAGTCTTACAGGAGCTGTTTTTAAATTTCCTCAAGGCATGGAACAGAGAAATAAGACAGCTTTCTTTCATTCATGACTGACTAATGTATATATTCATTTGCAGATAAAAATAATATGAGAAATGAGTTCAATACTTTTTAACAGACTTTTAATTTGTCAAATGGAAATGAGGCAACAAGACAGTACCATGTGTCCAGCCAGGAATGCTCAACCTATGGCCCATGGGCCATATGTGGTCCATTGAGCCATTGCATCTGGTGTGTGGGGCTCCCCACAGGTCCAGAAATTTGGCAGTAGGGGAGTGGTGGTCAGTAATATGACCAACCTCCCCCCTGCCGAATCCCCAAACTCTAATTCCTGCATGGCCAGTTAGAGAAAAGTTACAGCTGACTTCCCTACATGGCCAGATCACACTCTGCCCACTTCTGGATCAGGGCTGGATCACACCCCCTCCCCTTGCAGGGCTGGGCCATACCCACTACCATCTTTATGAGCCAGGTCAATCTTCTTTCCCTAGTGGGGCTGTGCCTGCTTGCTGCCTTCTGCCCCACTCTGGCCAGATGGTGGTGCCAGATGGTGATGGTGCCTGCCATGCCCACCTGGGCAGCAGATCAGGAACACCGACTGGA